ATTTGTTCAAGCTGGTTGCACCATTTCAGGTATGAGTTCATCATGATTTTATGGAAGGATAAAAGAATTCCTTTGATTTCTAAGGTGCTTTCTGATGATAGTCAGATTTTCTTGACCACTGAGCAGTGGTCTATTAGACCAGTATATTCAGAGAACAATCTATAATGATTTTTAGATCCTCTCAGATTGGTATGTAGATGGCCAGCCAACTCAATAATGATCATTTAGAATCTTTCCTCTTGAAACTGAGTATTGAAAGTCCCTGTCATCGTTCTTGCCCTTGTACAGTCTTGTGGGAGCTTATCACGTTCTGTTTGCCATTCATGACCTGGAAGATCTTACAGCCTTGGCAATTTCGCTTTTCATTTCCTGGTCCTGTTACCTATAAAACTGTAAAATTGCAGCAATGATAGCATAGATCCCTGAGGAATCTCACCAGCTATGCAAGAGGAAAGGGGGAAACTTAAAACTTAGATAATCGATAACCTAATAAAATAAATCTCTGAAAAATTAAGATTTGTTCATTTTCCTTGAAAGCCTGGAAGCTGAAATTTTCCTTGGCCACTTATGTTCCACGAGGAGAGGCTTGTCTCTTTGTGAGGAAAACAACAGCTCAACCCAAAGTGCATGGCCCACGGTGGCCGTTCTGCACCCATGTTCTGTTAGCATCAGAGAATGATTTAAGTGAGGGGTTATTTAAGAGAGAATTCTTCAGAGACATGATTAAGATTCTTCCTACTAAACAATGGTATCCTAAACTTAATACAACTGCAAATTAGCATAGAGAAATGAATGGTAAGGTACACAGTATTTCTCACAGTAAGCCATATACTCAGACATTTCTAAACATTTGCAGAAAATATTTGCATAAAGGTAAGTAGATTTACATTGATAGTATTAGGAAGTGAAGGAACAGATACTGTAATTTGTTTCAGTGAAGCCAATTTTAAGCTGATTTTGAGCACAGTTAGAATATGGTGGACTGTGGTACCAGCAGGTGGCATGGTGGTTAAGGTGCTGGACTCCCTCATGGCTGACCAGGGTTCAAGTCTCAGACCTGGCAGCTTGAAAATGACACTGGGCGGGAACCAGCAGTTAGCGTGATAGCTATGTCGCTGGACTCCCACGTAGTCGACCGCGGTTTGCGTCCTGGACCCGGTGGCTTAAAACTCATGCCTGGCGCATGTGCGTGCGTGCCCAAGATCCCGAGAGGAGAATGGAGGAGAAGGGATTGCGGCGTGATCATCCCCTCTGGGGGCTGATTTCTCGCTTTCTGTCTCTCTGTCTCTCTCTGTCTGTCTGGCGAGTGCACGCGCCCTATAGCGAAAAATCTCTCCAAAAAAAAAGAAAAGAAAATGACACTGGGTGAGTATACATGTGTGCCTAAAATCTTGAGAAGAGAATGGAAGAGAAGGGATTGTGGCATTGCTTCCCCACTGGGGCGTGATTTCTCTCTCTCTCTGTCTTTGTCTTTAGTGAGCACATATGCCCTATGACTAAGAAACCTAAAAATAAAAAGTATATGGTAGACTTCAGTAATTTTAACATGTGTTAAACACCAAATTAACAAGGAAATAAAAAAAACAGGTACTGCTGGTAAGAGTGTAAGTTGATAAAATTGCAGTAGAAGGCAATATGGTAATATCTTTCAACATTATAAATCCATATACCTTTTTACCCAGTGATTCCACTTCTAAATGTACTTCCTATAGCATAGGAAAAATAGCAAAAATCTCTCCAAAAAAATAAATAAAATTACTAAAATTAGAAATAAATGTGGCTGAGGAATATTTATGGCTCATCTTATTACAGAACGAACCAGAAATATCATGTATTTATACCAAAGGAATATTTTGGTTTAGAGTCTTTTTTCCTTCTATTTTTATAATTTTTTTTTGGAGAGGTTTTTTTTTTTTTTTTTTTTTTTTTTTTTTTTTTTTTTTTTTTTGGGGCTTGGGCGTCACCCACAAAATATGAATGGAAACTACTAGGAGGAATGGCTAAACATTAAAAGTTAATTCCTCTGAGGAATAGTGAATAATCATAGGGATAGGTGGGGAAGAACTGCTGTTTCTCATTTGATCCTTAGAATACTCTGACTTTTAGGACTGTGAACACATGATACTTAGAAAACAATAAACATGAAATAATTGTTTACAAAAAGACCTCTCAGAATAGGATCTAGCCACTGGAATTTTAAGGTAGATCTTTCTTTGATATGAGACATATCATCGTCCCACTTTTGTATTCAACAATCATTGAACGCTAGTTTTGTGCTGGACTCTCTATTACATATGATGTCTCATTTAATCTTCCTATCACCTATTTTTTTTGTCTGTCTTTATGCCAGTACTATGCCAATTTGATTACAATAACTTTGTAGCATATTTTGAAATTGGATAGTGTGATGCCTCCTTTTTTTTTTTTTGTAGAGTTTTTTTTTTTTTTTTTTTTTTTGCTATAGGGCATGTGCGCTCACCAGAAAGACAGAGAGAGATAGAGAAACAGAAAGCAAGAAATCACTCCCCGGGCAGGTGGCCACGCTGCAGTCCCTTCTCCTTTATTCTCCTCTCGGGATCTTGGGCACACACCCACTTGCCCGGCATGAGTTTAAGCCACTGGGTCTGGGACTTGAACCACAGTTGACTACATGGGAGTCCAGCGACATAGCCATTACACCAACTGCTGGTCCTTATAATTTTGAGAATTATCTTAAAATACAGTATCCAAGAAGAAAATGCCAGAGCCTTTATTTATTTATTTTGAAAGGAGAAACAAAAAGATCTATACCTCAAATCCTACACATAGAGACTATTTCTGAGTACTTCTTCCTGGTGGCTGCAACTTCTGAATCTACGTCAGTGACTGGAGTGTATTAACAAACAGAACACTGAAGAAGAATGGGAATGTTAAGCCAGATGTAAACATAAGCACATCAGAAAGAAAATGAATCTCTAGTTTGTAGAATATTAGTTGCAGTGGGCATGTTAGAAAACATTTCCTCACCTACCTGAATGATAGCTTAAAGTCCAAGTAGAAATGTCAAATAGAACATTACATTTAGATTCACCTTTAAATGGGATGTGCAGGGAAAGTTACTTAAATTTTATGAATCGAAATGTCCCAGGTAGGTTCCATGTCTTAGAGAGCAGAACTGTGCTAGACAAAGCAATTTGGCCCCAGCCAGATGCTAGAACAGATGCCAGAGTGTCCTGTCCTCATTCTGTTGTCGAGCATGAGTATTCAGTGAGAGGATTCAACTCACATTAATAAATTCTAAAGAAATTTAAATATTTTCTGCTTCTCAAAAGAATGCACAGTGAAGCAACTAGAAATTTTCTTTTTACCTTTCAAAATCTATACAAATTAATTTTGCAAGGTACAAAATGCTTTTTGAGTGTTATCTGCTCAAGAATTAGCATACTGTCACAAGGCCAGACAAGAGTGATGTTCTGAAGAGGCACACATTTAAGGGATGCCTGTTGTAAGGAAACATCAGATAGATTTTCTTTCTTTTGAAGTACGGGTACCAAAAAATGTAAATGACCCAAAGTTTTACTGCAGTCCTCAAAAGTCATGCATTCATTGGAAAATATGAAGTGCCAGCTACTCTGTGTAAAACCACAGTCACTGGAGCCTATGAGTGTGGATTATCAAAGAACACACCAGATTCATTTGCTTTGCTTTACATGTCATCTTCTCTCATTCTTTGAAAATTCTTGTCCTGATTGTTAGCTCACATGTGCTCTTTCAGTTAACCAGGTGATTACCCTTGTCAGCCCTCTCAGGTCTTTCTGTGTAAATAGTGCTTGAAGCCCCATTCCTTGGCCCCTGTCCTGCTTTGTAGGTCTTTTGAGACATGCTCTGCTCTTTTAGAACTCTATGCTCAGCTTCATTTAATTAAAATTGATCACTTTAAAAATGAACCTAAGGTCAAAATGGATTCTGCTTCCCTCATGACAGCAGGATTTGAAACTATTTGCTCCTATACTGTGGATTGAGGTGACTTGAGAAAATAAAGTTGCCTGTCAAAATCCTTTCTACTTTGTTTTGTATTTTATAGCTCATGAAGCACTTTCATGACCACCCCTCTGTTCATTCTTGTGTGCCTCGTAGTAAACGTTACAAATGTGATTTCTGCCTTGTAATTGTGAGGAACAGAGACACAAAGAGATCTACAGACCTGCCCTGTGGTGTGGCTGGGATTGAAAGCCAGACCCTAGAATTAAGGTAGAGAGTGGTGGGACTGTGAGAATAGACCACAGAGCCACTTTACACCCAGGTTAGAAAGAATTATCATGATATACTTGTCAGGGTACCCAGACAAATGTTAAAACTTGTCTAGAAATCTGTAAAGGTGGGGACCAGGAGATGGCATAATGGTTATGTTGCTGGACTCCCATGTAGTCAACCACGGTTCGAGTCCTGGACCCGGCAGCTTAAACCTCATGCTGGGTGTGTGTGCCCAAAATCCTGAGAGGAGATTGGAGGATTAGGGATTGTGGTGTGGCCATCCCCTCTCAGGGGGTGATTTCTTGTTTTCTGTCTCTCTGTCTTTCTAGAAAGCACACATGCCCAATAGCAAAAATATCTCTAGAAAGAAAGAAAGAAAGAAAGAAAGAAAGAAAGAAAGAAAGAAAGAAAGAAAGAAAGAAAAATCTGTAAAGACGAAGTGAAATGAGTACAGTTATATCCACGGGGACCTCCTTGTGCAATATTACCATACGTTTACTTTCATTTTACATGGCCAAGGTTTTAAAATTTAGTGTTGTTGTTACCCCACAACAACACTAGACAATGTAGATAGCTTGAATGTGCTAAAGGAGCTTTCTTTGGCATTTAATGAGGATTTTACAATGTTCCTGGTTCAGTTCGTATCTGGTAGCTAGAGAGTGCTCCAAGGAGCAAGTCCTGGACAACTTCGTAGTTTCTTGCTTCTTTGAACGGATGTATGCTGGTTTGTGTCTGAAAATTAACCAGGCCTCTTCCTTTACTTGTAGTCTACTGCTGATGAAAAGAAATCGTCTACGGCCAGTAAGAAGACAGATGTGGACAACTTTGACATGGGCTGTTCCACATTTAGCAAGTTCTTCCCAGTTGAAATCAAGGGAGAAGTAGAGAAAACCACTGTGACTCCAAGCCAAACAGTAACAGCCAAATACGTTGCTAAATCCACTGCCCTGTCTAGAGCCAAAAAGAAACTCTAAGGTTCCCTCCTGCGCCGCACGGTATAAAACAAAGCTGCTCTTTCTAGTGCTAAAATGAGGGGATATGAGGGGAAGAACAGCACTGTATCTCGCTTGTAGCCTTTTAGCGCCGTTGAGCCCTGCCATGTATTTGTACCAGTTACAATTGAAGCTAGTTATCTGCAAAACAGCATGAACCACACATGGTATTAAAGGAAGCCACCAGCAGGCTTGATGGCAGGTTGCAGAGAAACCACCTCAGGCTGTATGCAAGGGTTGCTGAGGGGCAGATGCCTTCTTTGCAAAGCCGTGAGCACACTTGCTCTGTTTTACTTCCAGTTCTTATATTTAGGCGCAATTATTTATGGGGAGAACAAGAGGCCAAATATGGCAATGGAGGTTTCAAATAATTATGTGCACTTTGCACTAGAAGACTTTGTTATAAAATTACTAATAAACTTGCCATAGGCATTACAGCAGAAGTGCTTCATCATTACACATGTTCTTGTGATTTTAGGTTGCTATAGATTGTTTAAGACAACTTAACTTTAAATGTTAAAAAAATAGATTTTATAACTGCTTGCCATTAACTTGCTGCTAAATTCTCAATGTATTGATGAAATCAATAAAAAAAAAAACAGAAAAACAAACAAACAAAAAACCAAGATGTTACTATGCACGTTAATTTTTATGTTAACAAGGGGTAGATGAGGTCCTATAAGTCCTTGTGCAAATTACGAGCATGGTCTGTTACTGCAGTGGTAAGCACACCTCTCTGCGGAAGGTCAGAGGCTGGATACCAGGGAAATGCATCATGACTCTTAGCGTTATACATAACTGCTTTCCATCTGGGTAAATAAGTTTGTCTTTCAAGGTCAAATTGGGCGATGGATGCTTGCCTTGGCTTCCTACACAAATTCTAAAGGAACAGTTTGCATTTGCCTTTACCTTTGTAAAGTAGTGACCTAGATTCATTCAATCCCCGTGGGACTGTCAGACCTCCAGAACGCCCCCTCCTGACCAGCTGCATGTTGTATTTCTATGCAACATGTACTCGTTGCGTGTAAATATATATGGTGGCTAAAGGTGGTCCCTGCACTTGTACTTCTTAAACTAATTTAGAAGACACGTGCAGTTCTGAATGAGAACACTGGCTTCCGTTGCTGCCGGCCGAGTGGTTCTGCCAGTATTTCCTTAGTACCTTCACTGTGCTTCACTCGAGGGAACCTGCCAGCCACAGTGTATCTTTATAAATTATCTGGATTTTTTTTTTCTCTAGAGTGCATTTACTCACGGGAGAGACAGAGAGAAAGGGAGAAATCACCCCTGCAAGGGGGATGGCTACACCACAGTCCCTTTTCCTTCATTCTCCTCAGGATTTGGGGCATGCATGTACATGCACCTGGTGTGATTTTTCAAGCCACCAGGTGCAGAACTCTAACCATGCAGTCAGCTATGTGAGCTCCAGTGCCTCAACCACCACAATACCTGCTGCCCATCTGGATCTTATTTTTATAACTGGAGTTGACATAGCTTCTTTACGGTCCTTCTCCCTTCTCAGTGATTATTTCTAGTTGTATTGGGGGCCCATAAACCATCTTTGGCGCTTTGAGATTCCTCACAGGGTGTAGTGAGTCTGTCTGGGAGGAGTGTGTTTTGTTCAGCCGAGGAACATCCTGACCTCATTCCCTACATGGAGATTTCTCTCCCTTGTGGTCCTCTTAGAGGCAGAGGTGGGAACCACGATCCTGTCACCTCCAGCAGGAAAGAGGAGACCTCTAGTGCCTGGTGGGAGCAGCTTCTGGTCTCCTTTCAGGAGAGCCAACCAAGACTGTAGGTTTGGTTCTGCCCTACCCTGGGCCTGAAAATGGAAGATTCCCTACATTCAAAATGCTCTTACTTTCACAGTGATACTGTCTTTAAGGGTTAGAAAATTCTCTTGATAAATTGAGGATCATCCACATTTCCCTTGGCCTTAAATTAGGGATTCTGCTTAATAAGCTTGCACAGAGGCCTAGCACTAACCACTAATTAAAAGGTGAAGTCATTTTTTTTTCTTTCTTTTTTTTTTTGGAGAGGTTTTTGCTATAGGGTGTGTGCGCTCGCCAGACAGACAGAGAGAGACAGGGAGATAGAAAGCAAGAAATCACCCCCCAGGGGGGATGGTCACGCCACAATCCCTTCTCCTCCATTCTCCTCTTGGGATCTTGGGCACGCACGCACACATGCCTGGCGTGAGTTTTAAGCCACCGGGTCTGGGATGCGAACCAAGGTCGACTACATGGGAGTCCAGTGACATAGCCATTACGCTAACTGCTGGTTCCCAAAGGCGAAGTCATTTTATAACAAAATAGTGCATCTGCCCCTTTTCCCAGCCGACCTCAGACAAGGTGAGCCGTCTTTCCCACCATAAGTGTTCTGTTAACTCTTCTCCATCTAAAACTTCATTTTATTTTTATAGAATTATTTTGATGGAAATTTAATTCACTCTTTCTAGAGATAATTTCCATATTATTTTTATTTGTTATTTATTTGGATGAAACACACTTGGACCAGCTCACACTTGGAGTTTTGCTTTTCAGCTGATGTGCCACTTTAATGTCTGGGGTTATATGGCCCTTTTTTCTCCATTTGCTCTCACGGACGTGGAAAAATAACTTTTCCACTTCAGATTGGCTTTCAGTGACTAGTAGGCCAACTCCATGGCATCGATGTCAACAACTGACACCTCCTATACCCAGAAGGCACACTGTCTGAGGCAGTGAAGAGCAGGTAGTATTTCCAAGGAACACAAATCCTGATGGCCACTCTGACTTGAGTGACACATCGGTCAAGGCTGGAGAGATACACCCAGAGATAAATGCAGGCTTGGAGCGGGGACAAGTTGGGCTGAGGAGAACAGATGATGCTATCAGAGAAGGGCTTCAACTTGGAGCAGAACACAAGTGGGTTGAAGGTAAGGGAGAAAAATGAAGACAAGTATACTGAACGAAGAAAACTGGATGACAGCACAGGGTTCCACTCAACCAGGAAGCAGAAGTCACAGGCGGGATGCACTGCTTGTGCAGTAGCTGTGGCTCCAGGCTAGTCTGAGGCAAAGGAGCCCCTCCACGGCCAGGGCACCAGTGAACCTAGACAGAGACACCAGCTGGTGAAGCAGAACAGAGCTGAGCTGGGGGAGGGTGTGGTATGGTTTGAGGGGAGGGGAAAATGGGAAGAAAAAAAATAATTTTGTGCTTGTCACTGAAATGCTTTGTTTAAATAATTCTATTTGACTCCAAAATGTTAAGTTCCAGGTTAGACAGATCAAAAGCAGCCAGTCTTGAAAATGAAGCATTTTCAATTCCAGCCGTGCTGTTGGAATAGAGAATAAAGGCTTTGTTCAAACATGCATTCCCAGCAGTGAGCAGAGCTTTGAAATTGGCCAGGAAGTTGTGTCCTGTCATGGCTGCTCTTGGCCGAAGACCAAGAAGCTGTGGCCTCTAGGAAGTGCCCCTGAGCTGAGTATTTTCCATCTGTCCCTCCGGACCCCCTCTGCCTGCTCTGCCCATCTGCCCAGAGAGGCTGATCTCTAGGGGCTGCATTAACAGGTTCCTTGGCCTCTGAATTTGTTGGGATTCTATCAGTGGAGGCACTGACAGATCAGAGGGTGCACAGCCTCCCAGCTGGGTCCCTTCCCAAAGACCAGGAGCTATTACCCTGGGGTCTTGAGTCTTCGTCTGTGGGTTTCCCTTACCCCTCTCATTGAAGACCATGTCAGGGAAGAGCTTTATATGTGGTCTCTCAGTTAAACACTCAGCTTCCCCAATCGAGTGAGCCATCTGTCATTAGCTGCAGTCCAAAGTGCTCTAGACCCTTCCTTTGTCACTGCTGCATTGTTCTTGACCCAGGACAGTTTTGTCTCTGGTTGCCAAACTCCTACCGAATTACAGTACAGTGAAGAGCAGCAGGCTGAAATGAGCGAGCTTTGAAATTGGCCAGGAAGTTGTGTCCTGTCATGGCTGCTCTTGGCCGAAGACCAAGAAGCTGTGGCCTCTAGGAAGTGCCCCTGAGCTGAGTATTTTCCATCTGTCCCTCCGGACCCCCTCTGCCTGCTCTGCCCATCTGCCCAGAGAGGCTGATCTCTAGGGGCTGCATTAACAGGTTCCTTGGCCTCTGAATTTGTTGGGATTCTATCAGTGGAGGCACTGACAGATCAGAGGGTGCACAGCCTCCCAGCTGGGTCCCTTCCCAAAGACCAGGAGCTATTACCCTGGGGTCTTGAGTCTTCGTCTGTGGGTTTCCCTTACCCCTCTCATTGAAGACCATGTCAGGGAAGAGCTTTATATGTGGTCTCTCAGTTAAACACTCAGCTTCCCCAATCGAGTGAGCCATCTGTCATTAGCTGCAGTCCAAAGTGCTCTAGACCCTTCCTTTGTCACTGCTGCATTGTTCTTGACCCAGGACAGTTTTGTCTCTGGTTGCCAAACTCCTACCGAATTACAGTACAGTGAAGAGCAGCAGGCTGAAATGAGCTTTTTCTGGAAAACAAAACAAAAATGATGCCACTGGTCAGTAGGGGTTAGGAGAGAGCGTGGCAGGGGAGGGGCTCTGAGGTTGGAACCCAGGCTGAGCAACATCCATCTAGCATTGCCCAGCTGCATCGGAAATTGTGTAGACCTCAAAGATTTACACTGAGGTCTCGAAGTCCAACCTTAGCTTTGGGAGCCTGAAGAAAACATACTTTACTTTAACAGCCCAGAGGGACCATAGCCTGGTAGGGGAGCTGCCCCCGGCTGTCCCCTGGCTATGGATGGAGGCAGGTGGCAGAGGTTTCCAGGGAGCCTCTGAGACCCAGGAGGCACGGGCGACCTGAGGATAAGACAGCTCCCTGGGCTTTGTGTTTGCTTCACCTCTCTACGAGCACTAAAAATGACTTTACAGAAGCATTTTCAAGTTCAATTTGCACTATTCAGAGGTCTCGCGTAGTTCACTCTTACTCTTCAGGATCCTGCATTTTTCTCAGTGAGCTGGCTTAGAACCGACTCTGATTTCTATTGAGCACATTGTTATCACTTAATTCTCGTTGGTGAGCCAATTTTCTTTTTGCCTTTGTTCTTCAAAAGAAGGCCATGTTCGGTCTCACATTTTTTTGTGGCTGCCTTCCCCAGTCTCCGGGATAATCAACTCAAGTCTGTTCTCACGATGTTGATTCTCCGCATTTCCCTGGATTACCTGGAGCAGCCCCAGCAGGAGCAGGGGCACTGCCCACCACTGCCCTCACCTCACTTCAAGCAGCAACTCAGAGCTGGCAGTCAGACACTGGGAGGGTCAGTTAGGCCGCTGCACTGTCACCACTGCAGTCTCAAGGAGCTCTCCTTCCTTGTTGCCCAGTGCCCTCCCAGACACCCTGACGGGGCCCCACAAACACAGGGTGAGACCTCAGAGGGCCTTCTCCCCAACAGAGGCAGTGGCTCCTGGCCAGGTTCTGCCCCCAGTACAGACTCCTGATCATCCCTCCCCTGTCTGGTTTCTGCAGCATCTTTCAGACACATCCGTGGCATTGATACGGAGGTTATGTAAGTCTTCCTGCCCTTGGCCTGAAATACAATCTTTGTCTCTTTCT